CATTTAGCTTGATGTCCACGTACATCAACTCGTTGCTCCCTACTTTCTGTTGCTTTGTCTTTATGTTCTCCCCCACTTGATCCCGTAATGCTTTCAACAAATGCATTGCTCGTCGTGGTTGTTGGATTTCGAACAAATGATCTTGCCCTTGTCCGATCGTGGGGGGTGGAATGATGCTGTAAATGCATTGAGTGCTTGCTTTTATAGGCACTCCCTCACAATGTGCGGTCCTCCGCACAAGAAGCATCCGCTAGGTTTTGGGGTCTTGCCTTTTGAGCTTGGCCCTTTGTGGCAACTTCTTTCTTTTGTTCACTTCCGGACTCCTTTCCTTGGGAATATTTGGATGAGCGATTTCTCGAAGATTGTTTCTTCTTACTCGAGTCCTTTGAAAAAACAAAGTTGGTGAGCCTTTCCGTGGCTACGATTGTCCCGATCACATCGGTGACATTCCTTCGATGTAATTCTTGTTGTGCTTACGACTTCAAGCCATCAAGGGAGCTGAACAACTTGTCCTTCTCGGACATGTCTTGTATGTCCAGTGTCAGTGTAGAAAATTGCTTTACGTAGCCTCGAGTGGAAGTACTTTGGCAGAGTTGTCTCAGCTTCCTTGTAACAAACTTCATGTTCTCGGGTAGGAACTGAGTTCTCAACTCCCGCTTCAAGTCCTCTCATGTGTCCACTCGATACTAACCTTGTTGGATCTCTTCTCAACGTGTTTACCACCAAAGTTTTACATTCTCATTCAGATGATTGTTATCGAAACTTTGGTTTCTTTAGAATCAGGCCTCGTAGATCGAAAGTATTGTTCCATATTGAATAGGAAACTCTCGAGCTCCTTCACATCCCTGGCACCCCCATAGCAATGCGGCTCTGGTGCTCTCAAGTTTTGTGACGGAGCAACGCGGGTGTTGCTTCCTCCCCGCATTAAGAGCCCTTGTGAGCAATATAATCCTTGACATGAGTTCTTTCACAACTTCGTGTAGGTGTTGCACGGAGTCTTTGGTGTCTTCCATCAATCAATCAACTAGGGAATCAACCTTGTCGATCCGAGATTCCGCCTCTTATGAGTTCTCTACCCTAAGAAGTCTTAATTGGCCTTGATAGAGTTCCTCTAAACTCACTTCAAGAACGTCAAGGCAGGTTTCTGTAGCTGTAAGCCTCTCCTTATGGCTTCTTTTCCCAGTTGGCGCTCCGGATTGTGCTTTCTCCGCTCGCGGAGAAAAGTCAACTTCTCGCTCGTCTTGTTCGCTATTGTGCTCCTCTTGAGCAGCTTCAACAGCTTGAGAGCGAGTTTGCACTTGCAGCCCACTTGTGGCTACTTGGGGCAATTATCTGGCTTGCCCCATTTTACTTGATTCGGCACGATGCTTCACCATGGTGAGATTGCGAAACTTTTGTTGTTTGGACGAATTGCTTGCCCGCTCTGATACTATAATGTCACGGACTTAGTTGGAATTGCCTGAGTTATGAGGTACCTTTGCGCCAATGTCATGGACTTAGCTAGGATTGCCTAAGTCATGGGGCACCCCTTGCTTATCCGTTCGCAAAGGGTTAGTCTAGTTGCAACCTCTCTCAGGTCTCGAAGGATCTGTAAAAGAACAAATTGATTAGTTCAAAAGCATGCGACGGATAAGTCTCGACGTCTCGCGAAGAGGGCAGCTTTACAAGCAATTCAGTAAACACTCTACGTGCAAGAGAAAAAAGAGAAGGATAAAACAAGGACTTTAGAAGGAAAACGAATGGTTGCAAGTTCGCAAACGATTGCTCACTGGGTGTCAGGCACGATGGCAAGTTTTCGTAGGCTTAACGTGGCAAGTTTTCATAGGCTTAATGTGCGAACTTGTGTATCCAATCAATGCCCAACACTACCCTAAACCCCCATCTAGCCCTGTGCCACTTGGGGGGTTCTAGGGTGCTGAGATGATTGACGTTTCACACCTCACCGCAGCCTCCAGAAAACAGGCCATGACATGTGAAAATTGGGCCATTTTGGGGCAGTTTTGTCCATTCTGGTGAGCGGTCGCTCTCCAGTGCTGCAAACTATTCCTGCTCATAGTTTTTAAGCAAAAACATACAAAAACAAGGCAAAACACGTTGCCAAACATATGTGTGAGCAAACAAAAGCGATAAACAGTCCATTGACGAAGATGTTGTCGGTGCATAATGATCGTTCGTGACAGTATGGTTCATAAACAATGCTTGCTTGGATTGATAAAAACCAATCGATATGTGGTGTGAATGAGAGAGTGACGTTTAGACTATATGATCAAATTTCTTAACATTTTTTTTATCGATCTGAATGAACAGAATCATAGCTTTGCGAGGAATCAAACTCTGGAATACAAAGTCCATTTAGTATCTCCACCTGCGCCCATCAACCCTTTCTGCTGTACATCTGGGCTGCTTTGTGACATGCAGTTAACAAGATTTAAACCCATATACAAACCGGATATATGTTAATTTGGTTTGGATAATGAGAAAGAACATGTTTCAGTCTTCTTTCAGTCTTAAGCTGTGTGGACTGTCATAGGCAGATTAGTTAGCATTATGCTATTATACCTGCAGAGATTCTCTTATCTTTATCAGCTCCTGATAGAAATTTGAGACCTTCATTCCTTTTACACAGATGAAGTGATGGTATTCCTTTTCTTACAAACTTAACTTGGATTAGTTATTTGTTATTATATTATATCCTTCGTATTTTTCATTCATGTTACCTGAAAATGATGTGGGACTTCCCTGTTTGAAACCTGAGTTTCCTTTTAACTAGATTCAAGGAGTAGAAGAAATGCTTTCCTTGTAGTATATCGCTTTTGAAATGCTCCCAATAACTTTAACATTCAACTGTTGTGAATAGAGATGGACATAGCTCTAAGAATGTAACTTTACTTTTTAGATAGCATTAGTGAAGTGAAAGTTGGATATAATATTATTACTTGTTTTTTCTACTTGGTCATTTTGTCTATTTTAACTGATTTCTCTTGGTTTCTTGTTAAATTTACCTGAATATTTGTGATTTTATGTTCCTATGGTATTAATAGCACATGGTAACCTTATATACAGAGTCTAGATTTTCTGTTGCTGCTCCATTTATCTATTTCTGCATTGCTTTTGCTCTCTGATTGCAGTTCTATTTTCTCTGTACTACCTATCTATTGTCTGAACATTTTCATCTCTTGCAATGAGGGAGGCCTTATTTGACAAATATTTTGTCAGTCCTTTATTTGGTTTTTCTACATGTTTTATTATCTATTGTAAATGAACATGGTTTAAAGGTAGCTGAATCGGCTTTATTCATACATTTTTTCCATCAGTTTAGAGTTTCTATTGCTGTTCTTCTGACTGCAGCTTTCTTTCTTTTTTTTTTCTTTTTTGTTGCACCATCTGGAAGATCTCCAGCACTTGAGATGCCTACTTTTCTTTAAATGACCATGATCTATATCCATTTTTCATACATATCATAACGTCAATTGATGATGAAGGCGGATTACAGGTTGCTGAACGGGCGTTATTCCTCTGGAACAATGATCATATAGTGAGCTTAATTGCTCAAAATCGCAGTGTAATATTTCCCATCATATTTGAAGCACTGGAGAAGAACATGCAGGCCCATTGGAACCAAGCGATTCATGGCCTAACAGCAAACGTGCGGAAAATGTTCCTTGACATGGACAGCGAGCTGTTCGAGGAGTGCCAGCGACAATACGAAGAAAAGGAAGCGAAGGCAAAATCAGTGGAAGAGCAAAGAGAGTTGGCATGGAGAAGGCTGGAAGCCGTTGTTGAAGCCAAGGCCGGAGGAGAAGACATGGTTCTAGCCAATTAGCCAAATTTGTGGTTGTATTGTAAGTTAAATGTATCATCTGTGGATATGCCTCGGATCATGTCAGGTTTCAAGGTTTTCTTTTTTGTCTCCTTTTGTGCATTTCAAAGAGAGATGCCGTATTTTATTCCATTCACGATCTTTTTCTTTTTATTGGTTTCCTGCAGTGCAAAGATTTCGAACTTAATATGTATTTCTTTCAGTCTGTTTTGACATCTACCGACTGCTGATGCATTGTGGAATCATATAATTGCTGAGAAACAACAGTGGAGATGCTGAGCTCAAAATATTTGTTGGTTTTTTTATGGGATGATTTCTTAAGATATGAATGAGAATTGTGAATAAATTAATTATTCACAGTTCATTCAACAACAGTTGGTAAGAATCGTCGAGCTTTCATGTATCCATTCATTGCATGAACATTGTATTATATCAAGGTCACGCTTACTAGACATCAAGTCCTTATGTTTTTGACTGCCTATATTGTGTCCTTAGCATCAGAGTCTCCTCAAAGATACATATCCATAGTTGGCTCATAAAATTATGGTGGCGAATGAAAGGCTCATTTGAGAAAAACAATAAGGAGAATCAACAATAAAGTCATGAATTATAATGGAACTTTCTTTTTCTTGATCAAAAAGAACTTCCAAGATAAAGTTTGTAGTCTAAAAGATGGAAGTTATGCATATATCTTTCAATTGGCATAATAAGAACCATAAATACTACTTGATGAGTTTGATTTAAGGAAATTGACCGATAATGTAGGGTTGATATAATGATCAGAATGCTCCTTTATCAGATCAATATTTTGTGTCATGATAATAGTCTCTAAATATAGAGGCAACAGAAATATCACATATTGGGTAAGCCTTTTAGCCAATAACGGATGTTGACCTGCTGCGTCAAGTATAAGTCCCACAGGATTGGAGGCTGAATGATTGAGCTACGAAGGATCGTACAAGCAAGTTTTTCCTGGTCGTGGCGAGAGGAGGTAGCAGAAGAGGGAGGTGGCTGCAGCCACACCAAGACTAAGTAGGGGAAGGTTGCGGTGGCGACACTGATGACTAGGAAAGGAAGGCAGAAGGGAGAAGGGATAGAGGAGGGAGTAAAGGACGGGATTGGCATAAACAACACCAAAGATGCAAAAGCAGAGTCATGTCACTTGATGGAGTCACAAGGATTATAATAATGATGTAATCAAGAAACACTCTTACCCACTTTTAGTAAGAAACAATATTGATAGACACAATCTTCAACAAAGTTGACCACCATCCAATTGACACAGAATACATTTAACAAGCTCTGCATCCTTGCAAGATTCAAAGAAAATTGAGATAAACAAGCACGTAGCTGCATTTTGGAAAGTCTTTCTTCTACTTATTGGGGACACCTGACAAAAGATGTGCAGTGACCTCTGAATGAAGCAGCTGGTGGATACATCACTATGAAAAAACTCTTGGGCTAGTCAGTCAATATGTTATCGACACAAAGTCTGTGCAACTCACTGCCATCTATAAGCCTTCTGATTCCAGCTTTTAGTTCAGGTACTCCCTCTTGCAAGACAGAACATACAGGAAATATAGGGACGTCTTGGACCCTTCTCTCTAGTTCTTGGAACACATGTTCTGCACCCTCTTCATCAATTTTGTTGGCCACTATTAAGGACGGTCGATTTGACAAACCTTCCCGGTGATGTTCAAGCTCCAAAGCCAAATCCCTCAGTTGCTCCCATGGCGGAATACCCTTCCTCCCATCCAATGCTGCTGCTAAATCAACGACATATGCCAAAACCCTTGTGCGCTCTATGTGCCTCAAGAAAGCATGGCCAAGCCCACGATTTGCATGTGCTCCTTTTATAAGACCAGGGATGTCAGCAACCTTGACAGAGAAGAAGTCCTCGTAATTTAGATTTCCTATGTTGGGCCTTAGAGTGGTAAAAGCATAATGACCCACAGTTGGCCTAGCCATTGATAGGGCCCCTAGCAATGTGCTTTTACCAGCATTAGGCATTCCAATAAGGCCAACATCTGCAATACTCTTCAGTTCCAGTATAAGAACACTTTCAGAGCCAGGTCTTCCAGCAGCCAATGAAGTTTGATATTCACCATCCAAAGTTTCTGGACTTGAAGCACCATTGCAGTAACTGACACTTTTGCGAGAATCCTTTTTTGAAGTAGCATTACCAAGGCCACCCTCTCCTCCTCGTGCAACTATTATTCTTTGCCCAGGTTGAGTTAATTCTGCAACTGAATATCGCACCACCTCCTCTTCTTCTTCCTCCTTCATCACCTCCTCATCTTCCTCTACTCTGATTTCATTTGCATCATCAGTTTGATCATCTTTAATTTCCTCGTAGGTAGTTTTGCAACATGGTTCATCATCTTCGGTGTCTTTGTCCCACTCTACCTCAGTGGAGGCAGGAGAACCAAAACTTATTTTGACATCATGCTGTGATTTATTAACATCATCTTCGGAGTACAAAGGTGACGTATGCAAATCTTTCATTAGTGCTGAACAAGATGCATTGACCTTAACACTTTTTTGCTGAACAGAATTAGCTGTATCAGTGTCAACAGCTCCTGGTATTTCCCAAGGGTCTAAGGATGTGATAGAAGAGTTTTCAGCATAAGAAGTTTCACCACTAACTAGGTGTATTACAGTGCCAACTGGTACTTGAGCAACCTGCCAGATATAAGAACTAAGTGCTTGACATACCACAAAGAAATCACACAAGATGTTAATTGAGAAAGACACTGGAAATTCACCTTGTCAGACCCACGGCTCCCTGCTTTACTCTTTGAAGTTCCATTCCCTCCTCTTTGTGCATTCTGGAAAACAAGGTCTAGTCATAGCTTACAATATCACGTAGTAGACTGTTTAAGCCCCTCAACAACAAGCATGCTTATATAAAACTAAATGAGCTTACTTGTGTACACATTATGAAGAATCCCGTTAAAGCTATCAGGCATTGTACAAAAAGCATAATGGTACTCCAACAAAGTAACAGAATAGACAGAAAGGCTTCGATCATACCAAGTGATGCTGCAAATTGCTGAAGTCCCAAACAGCTGAAGAGCATTCAAGGATGACATCACCACCTCTTCCACCATTTCCACCTGTATTTATTGAAAGAAGAATTACTACTTTGGCAGACTAGCCAACACTGTTAAGTAACTTGAGATTATTAAAACTGATTCACTACTTCGAAAATAGCAAAGATATGAAATTTCAAGCACACAATTTGATTAAACACAAACAAATATGGTATAGCTGGGGTCATTTTGTTTGGGAAATTTCACAAACAGATAGGCTACATGTTTCGAATATCAATAATCTGCCTTCTAACTAATGAGAAAATTTCAGAATCGTGAGTTATCAGTACAATTATATATTTTGATTACAATGTTGTAATTCTGACAAACTAACTAAACCAAAAGATATTATAGTTCCACCATCAGGTCTGCCATAACGGTCAGTCCTGCTGCGTCTATAGCTGCAACACCCATTTCCACCTTCGCCTCCCTTGGTCCATAACCTAAACCTATCAACCATCCTCCGTTCCTGTAAAGGATGAACAAACGAGGTAAAAGCTTCCGTGCCATAAGCCAATAAGAAACACCATACAAATTAGAGCAGTAAAATTAGCTTGAACCTAGTTTTCAACCAAAGAAAGACAACAAAAAGATCTTGTGCCCAAAAACGAGGTAAAGGAGTGATTTTGATCCATAGAAAACCGAATGGGCGGGTACATGCGGAAATGACAAAAAAGTAGGAACATTACAACAAAAAAAAGTGAAACACGAAAAACCTTTCAATTAAATACAAGAACGAATGGAGAGATCTCATGGAACAATTGGCGAGTGGCAGTGGATACCTGCAAAGGTGCCAACTTTCCCTTCTTTTTGGGGACATCAGAGTAAGAGAAGGAAGAAGGAAGCCATGGCGGTTTACGACAAGGCGATCTTAGCAGTACTCTGCCCGGCCCAAGGGTTTGGTGCCAGCGCCACCACATGTCTCGCTCGCAGCAGCGCAACAAGCGACTTTGCTCTAATCTCGACGAACAACTCAGAAGCAGTTCTCCCGACAGAAACAAATTTCGGGGGTTTTCTTGCAATTATATATATATAAATATAAATATATATATATATATAAATATATATATATATAAATAAATAAATATATATATATATAAATAAATAAATATATATATATATATATATATATATAAATATATATATATATATATATATATACATCCTTACCCAAAAACAAAAAATTCTACTGTTGGGTTTTAATCTAATGATTATATGGATATTTTATCTAATTGATTTTTATCGGGGACGCCCATTTTCCACCGGTCACCCATCGTGAGCGGCGTGGCCCTTCACCTCCGCCCCCGCTCCCACCGCGTGCGACGTCGCCCCATCCGCCTTCGCCACTCCCGCCCCGCCCCTTCTAGTTGGCGCTCTCCATCTTCCTCCTTGTCACCACTGCCCTCCAGGTCACCTACGACGCCCTTTGGCCCCACTTGTGGGCCCCTTGCCCTGTCAACCCCAACCGCACCCTCAGCGTTGCCCATCCCACTCTCGGTCGATCCGCCTTCCTCATCCTCTGCTCGTGTCGCCCTCCGCCACTCCCTCTTCCTCCCAATCAAAGAGCTCCCTCCTCGCGCTGCCCTTCGCCGCTCCCTCAGCTCTTGCCCACGCTGTTGCCTTCCTTACGGATGCTTCGATCGCGAAGAAGGCGAGTAAGAGGAGCATGGAGCAGATGGTAAGCGAGCCGACGATGCCTTTCTCCTCAAAGAGGCTGGACTTGGAGAACTCGGCGATGAGGCGATGGAGTCGCAGTAATCAGCAAGATGGTGAACGAAGAACCGATAGCATGTTTTAAATGCTTTTGCTTAGAAAATATAAATAGTTTGTAGCCCTCCAATGCAACCGCTCACGATATCAAGTCGAATTATTTCAAAATGATTCCGTTTTCACCTGTCACGGCTTGTTTAATGCACGTCATAATTGCATACGAAACATCAGCCATCTCAGCACCCTAGAACCCCCCGGGTGGCACAAAGCTAGATGAGGCTTCGATATGTTATCGAGCGTTGAACAATCTTCATAAGTTCGCACGTTAACTTGACGGAAACTTGCCTTTGCATCCGACACCCGATGAGCAGTTGTTTGTGGACTTGCAACTGTTCGTTCTATCTTCTAAAAGTCATTGTTTTCTCCTTCTCTCTTTTTTTTTATCTTGCACTCAAAGTACTCGTTGAATTGCTTGTAAAGCTTTTCTTTTCGCGAGACGTCGGAATTTGTCCCTCGCTCGTTTTGTAATTAATCAACTTTCTCTTTTATAGGTCCTTCGAGACATGAGTAAGGTTGCAAATTGGCTAACCCTTTGCGGACGCATATCGCAAGGGCGTACCATGACTTAGGCAATCACAACTAAGTCCTGGAGGTTAGTGCAAGAATGCTTTGCGACTTAGGCAATTCAAGCTAAGTTCGCAACTTTGCCGCAATGGTGTCTCACGACTTAGGCAATTATAGCGAAGTCCATGACACTGTGGTATCAAAGCCAGGTTACAATTTGAGTAAGTAGTGAAGAAACTTCGCAATCTCGCCATGGCAAAGCATTGTGGTGAATTGAGCAAGACGGGACAAGTCGGACCATTGCCCCAAGCAATCGTAGGTGGGTTGCAAGTGCAAACTCGCTCTCATGTTGGTGGAGCTACTTTGGAGGATCATGTCAGCGAACATGATGAGCGAGAAGTTGTCTACTCTCCACGAGCGGAGGAGACGCAATCTAGAGCGCCAATTGGAAAAAATAGCTATAAGGAGAGACTCACGACGGTAGAAACCCGCCTAGATGTTCTTGAAGCGAGCTTGGAGGTACTCTACCAAAGCCAACAAAGGCTTCTTGGGGTAGAGAGCTCACAAGAACAAGATGAATCCTGAATCGACAAGGTTGAGGCCCTAGTCGATCGAATGACAGATGATACCAAAGACTCCATACAATGTTTGCATGAGGTCGTGGCAGAACTCACTTCTAGAGTGACAGTGCTCACAAGGGTACTAAATGCAGGAGCGACCAATACCCATGTCGCGCTACCACAAAACTTGAGGGCATCTGAGCCTCATTGCTATGGAGGTGCTAGGGACACGAAAGAACTCGAGAATTTCTTGTTTGACATGGAATAGTACTTTCGAGCTACAAGGCTTGTCTAAAGATACTAAAGTTTCAATAGTATCTGAATGAGGATGCAAAACTTTGGTGGCGGACCCGTTGGGAGGAGATCCAACAAGGTTGGTGTCAAGTGGACACATGAGATGACTTAAAGCGGGAGTTGAGAACTCAATTCCTACTTGAGAACATACAGTTCATCACAAGAAGAAAGTTGAGACAACTCCACTAAAGTACTTCCATCCGAGACTACGTGAAGCAATTTTTTGCACTGATGTTGGACACACAGGACATGCCCAAGAAGGATAAGCTGTTCAGCTTCCTCGATGGTTTGAAACCATGGGCTCAAACAATAATTGCATCGAAGGAATGTCACCGATGTGATCGGGGTAATTGCGGTCGCAAAAAGGCTCACCGACTTTGTTTCCTCGGAGGACTTGAGGAAAAGGAAATAATCTTCAGGAAACTACCCTCCAAAATATTCTTGAGGGAAGGAGCTCGGGGGCAAACAAAGGAAGAAGAGTTCCCACAAAGGGCTAAGCTCAAAAGGCAAGGGCCCAAAACCTAGCGGATGCTTCTTGTGCGGAGGGCCACACATGGTGAGGGAGTGCCCACAGAAACATACACTCAATGCTTTAACAACTTCAATCCACCCCCCAAATCAAACAAAGGCAAGGTCGTCGCCCTCAGTTCAAGCAGTTCAGAATCTAGTAGCGACGATGAGAAGTTGCAAGGTCCCCAAAAGGGAGTAATGCATTTGTTGAATGCATTGCGAGGTCAAGTGGGGGAGAACATGAAGGCAAAGCTATTAAAAGCAGGGAGTAGAGAGCTAATGTACGTGGACATTAAGCTCAATGGCCAAACAACCTGTGCAATGGTAGACACGGGCACCACCCACAACTTCATTGTCGATCGAGAAGCAAAGCGACTTGGGTTGATCTTGGAGAATAACCCAAGTCGGATGAAGGCAATGAACTCGGAGGCTAAGCGGATCTCTGGACTAGCAAAGGGAGTTTTCATCAAGATCGGGACATGGAGCGAGAGCACAAACATGATGACGGTGCCACTGAATGACTTCCAAGTAATTCTCGGAATGAAGTTCATGCACGGAGTAAAGTTGGTGCCTATGTCATTTTTGAACTCCCTATATTTGATGGGAGGCAACGACCCCTATGTGGTTCTCATCTCTCAGAGTGGAACCAAGGACCCCCAACAAATATCGAAATTACAATTGAAGAAAGGGGTACGAAAAGGAGAATTAACCTTCGTGGCTGTTGTGAAGCTAGAGCCACTCGACAAGGAGATCATTTACAAACCTACTATGTTGGTGAACATTCTGAAGGAGTTTATAGACGTTATGCCACCTGAGTTGCCGAAATGTGAAGCTGCATTCCAAGATCTGAAGGCTGTTGTGTTGGACGGACCGGTGCTCAAATTGTCAGACTATGGGGAGTCCTTCGAAGTCCATATAGATGCTTCAAATTTCGCTATTGGGGGAGTACTCATGTAAGAGGGTCACTCGGTGGCCTACGAGAGTCGCAAGCTCAACGAGACTGAGCGACGGTATCTGGTGCATGAGAAGGAGATGACAGCGGTGGTCCATTGTCTACGAATTTGGCGGCACTACCTTCTCGGATCGCGATTTGTGTTAAGGACAGGCAACATCGCTTTGAGCTATTTCCAAACTCAAAAGAAACTCTCCCCAAAGTAAGTACGATGGCAAGACTTCTTAGTTGAGTTTGATATGGCAATGGAGTACAAGCCCGGAAAAGTAAATGTCGTGGCCAACGTATTGAGCAGGAAAGTGGAGCGAGTGAATGTGATACAGTTGGAAGGCAGAGGCCAAGTAAGTCAATTTCACTCCAACTTCCTTTCCGGGATCAGGGATGGACTATACAATGATCTTCAAGCAGTAACCCTGATGCAGCTCATCAAAGAAGACAAGGCATGACAATTCTGGGTCCATGAGGGACTCATTTACACAAAAGTGAATAGAGTTTATGTTCCTCAAGTGAACAATTTGAGAAATGAACTCTTGAGAGAGTGTCACGATTCCCTTTGGGCTGGACATCCGGGTATTCACAGAACTTTAGCTCTCGTAGAGAGGGCCTTCTACTGGCCGAAGATAGGGACTGATGTGGAGGAATATGTTCGAACGTGCCTCACTTGCCAACAAGATAAGGTGGAGTAGCGGAAGCCGGTGGGACTTTTAGAGATGTTGCTCATACCAGAAAGGTCATGGGAGAGCATTTCCTTGGACTTCATATCAAGCTCACTGACAATAGGGGGACTCGGATTGATACTCGTGATGGTCGATCGATTTTCAAAGTATGCAACTTTCATTGCTGCACTCATATCCTATTCAGTAGAGGAGGCGACCAAGCTGATGATGAACAATGTGGTGAAGTATTGGGGAGTCCCGCACAATATCATTAGTGATCGAGACACTCGATTCCTATGACGATTCTGGACTGAGCTATTCAAATTGTTGGGGTCTAAGTTATACTTCTTAATAAGCCTCCACCCTCAAACGGATGGCCAAACCGAAATGATAAACTTACTCCTTGGGCAATATCTTCAACACTACGTGAGTGCCAACCAACGAGATTAGGTGAAGCTATTGGACAAAGTCCAATTCTCCTATAGCTTGTAGCAGAGCTCTACGTCCAACAAAAGCCCCTTCGAGATCATTACAGGACAACAGCCATCAACTCCTCACACATTGGCTATCGGGTATACCGGGAGTAGTTTGTCAGCATATCACTTTGTAAGAGAATGACACCAAAATACAGATATTGCGCGGGCTTACTTAGAGAAGGCGACCAAAAAGATGAAGAAGTGGGCCGACTTGGGAAGGCGACCACAAGAGTTCAAAGTCAGCGATTTGGTGTTGTTGAAGCTCCAACCAGTATAACTCTAGTATTTTAGGC